AAGATTCTACGAGTCCATTCCACCTCCACCCCCGCCCCACAAATAAGTATTAGAACAGAAGGGGTGTATGTTTATGGATGTGTGCGGTAGAGTTGGGGGAAAATCGTTAAGGGAGAAAAATCGCAGGCAGGCACTTCATTTGAGCTTAGCACATCCAGGAATAGTGTATGCACGATGTGGGAAGAGAGGGTGGAAAACTCGCTAATAGAATAAAATGTTTACTTTGCTAAGAAAGATAAGATCCAATCAAGCCTGCCTCACTAAAGCCTTTGAAGCATAACCTCTCCATGCTGCATTGTTGAAAACCTACTAAGAGTTGAGGATAAAGTAACAAGACCTCAGATGGTTATAAACCACGTTTCCCCCACTCCTTCTTAAGTTTGGTTTTGTTTTCATTGAAATGTATTCAGCAGGTTAGACACAGGCTTATACCCGCTTTGCTACTGGCGTGTGGGGACAAGCAGCTACAGAAAAAAATGATTACTATTAGTTTTCTTAGTTTTGTCACACGATTAGACTATAAAACCTTCACCTCAAAAGGTATTCCATGTGTTGTTACACAAGAGTCAACATAAACAAATACTGTCTCTTACACTCGCTATAAACTTTATCCATGCCAGACAATTTAAACATTGCTCTAATTTGGCTTTACAGCTATGGACAAAAGAATGGTAAATTACCAATTATTTGCTGAAAAGCGGACTTCACAAAAGCTGATTTATATTTTCCTTGCTGCTTTGTCATGTCCATAACCTAATCAGGCAACAAAGATACAACAATCAGATCCTTAAACATGTTTTCTCATTTTCTGCAATGAGTTCCAGAGGCCGTAAGGAACAGCTCTGGGAGTGCCTCTGGGCAAAAGATAAAGGAGGTTACAGCTAGTGGAAGTGGTAATTAGAGCCAATTACAACTTGACTTATCTGCTTTGTCATTAAAATGCTTGTCAGACCTCTCATTTTTCTAAACAGAGGAAAAGAAAAGGTATAGCTTAGTGGGGGAGAGGGTTAACCAAAGGGAAAGGATTTCTAATGCTGTTTACAAATTTACCCTGTAACCTTAGACAAACACATTGCCTTTTGGCTTCAGACTGCGCTTTGCTCACAGTTTAACTCGGAGCTGAAAGGGATTTAGGAATTCACCTTGTCCATTCCTCTGGCTTCTAGCAGGTAAGGTTATTATTAGAGTCCCATTTTTCAAATGAGACATGAAAGACCCAGAGAATTTAAGTAACTAAAATATGTTTTCTGCCTCCTTCTGCAATGGATTTGATTTTGGTCTCACTTTTAGTTTGTCATGAGAATACAATCGTTCTCTTATCTTCTCTCACAGATATGTTGTGTAGAGGTTAATACACAATAACCACAAAGTACTTTGAAAATACTAAGGGAAGCTTATAACATTACCAACAGAGATACTAGTATTTTGAATGGATGGGTCTCAAGGAAAAGGAATGGATTTAGCTCTTTGAAGAATTGCCTTAAGGAAAGAAATAGAATTACACTCAATGGACCAACTTCAATTTCTGCAAATAAGTTGATGGGTATAATTAGAAGTAACAAAAAATTGAGAAAGAACAGGAATTCTACTAATGGACATACCATTAAGTTTGAGAGAGAAATCATAATAAGTGAAATTTTGTGTGTAAAAATCAGATATCCTGAACTAAGTCAGGCTGCTTGGGGTAAAAGGAAATAACAAGTTTTCCTTACAAATACCATTTAAAAATTTCACTATCCTACATAAGCTCTTAAGATTTTTTTTCCTTTTGTCCTTAAAATTGTAGTCTGGCTACTGAATGCCTGGGACTCATTATCTTCCAGTCTCTTTCTTCGCCTTGCATTCGAACCCATTCAAATGACCACCACCGCTCCCCCACCCCATCCTAATCACCATCTTTATCTGCTCTCTTGAACACACCATCCACCTCACAAGCCCTTGTCATCCTTTAGATTGAATTACTTATTCAGGATTTCAAGGCCCTCCAATCAATTCACTCCAATCTAGTCTCTTTCCCAATCCTTCTCTACCTTTGTTCCCTTTCTTTCAATACTACACGTTTCTCTTCATATACCTGAAACAAATCCCATGGTTGCATCTGATAAGCAATCTCTCTACACTTTTCTTGAAAACCAACACATATTTGCTGTTGAGGACTATAGGGATGGGCCTGGGTATATTTAATAGGTAGACATCTCTTAGTATTCATCTGATACGTATAGCTAGAGATTACTGCCAAGCTCCCCCCTTTACACGTTGCTATCAGAGAAGGAAAGGGCACGATGCTCAGGAGCAGAATGTGGAGTGTTGTTCGTGATACGTTCTGAGTATTAAAGAGGGCTTGCCTGCGGTATTTTAGGATTTTTTTCGCCCTTCATTCCTTCAATTAAAGTTATATCCTTATTATCTTTAACAAAGGCCTCAATTTATATGTTCTCTTCCTTGGCGAAGGTGTGTGTGTAGTGGTCACTAAGAAAAGACAGATCTATAGAGAGCAAAGAGAAAGAATAATTCCCTTAGTTTAGTAGGCACAATGGTATCAGGAAGGTTATTCCAAAGAGGATGGCAGTACATATTGTAAGGGAATTTTACGGTAGCACATACCCTGAGGAGTAAATCTCTTGGAGGTGAGGCACTGCCCCATTATTAGATCCAACCCTAGTTTACAGTTTGGTTACCTGGCAGATATTGAGCTTAGACACAGTATATATTTTGGATTTTTAATTTTTATTCTCCTCGTATAATAGCATATATATATTTATAAAATGTTGCACAGATGAAAGCATTTCTGAAATGTGGTCACTCTTTTGGGATTGGCTCAGAATATAGCCTTGAAAAAAATCAATGGTGGAAAATGTTCTCTCTCTAAGGGTAGTTTTGATTTGTAGATAGCCAAAAGTCACTTGAGACTGGTAAAATAAGGCAGGCAACAACCCGAACATAAATTTTAGTGAAATAAGCATGTAAAAGGATCGACCTATTTTACTGTTAGATAAGTATCTACAGCCTCACAACATGCTACCCTCAAAGAAAACAATGGTTACTAGGACAGATAAGTATTTAATAAATGCTTTTAAAGTTTTGTTTGGGGCACATAAATATGGATCTGATTTTATGATAATAGAGGGAAATGAGCATAGCTAAGGGAAAACTACAAAATATTCAGCTTCTTTGGAGGCCAGGTAATAAGGTTTCCATCTACCTGCTATGGCTTCTGGATGATAAGCAGCTTTTGTATCAAGTATGGGCTGGTAGCCCTGCTTGACTTAAATGAGTGATACAGCTGTTGGGAAGCAGGAAATGGTGCTGGATTACACAGAGACAATCAAAACTAACACAGACACACACAGGCTTCCTGGTATGTAAATTCTTTTTGAGGTGAGATCTCCTTTTACAGAATTTTGTATATAACAGATTCAAAAACCAAATTTCTTGACCTCCCAATATTAAATAACTAAATGTGCAAAAGAACCACCATTAAATAGGACATCAAAAGCTATACATTTTCTATGAAACAGTATGTGCACAGATTTTCAAAGCTGTGAAAATGCAATAAAGAGCACAACACATTTTGGTCACTTTATTAAATGACATTAAATAGTTTTAAGTTTCAACTACTAAACAGCACTTTGAATGGTGAAAACACAGATAGTATATTGTCATACTTGAATGCTTTTCTTTAAAAACACAATTCCAGTCCTTATATATATTACAAAACAGCCTTAAAGGAAGAAGTGACACCTTTCTACAGTACTTAAGATACTCGATACAGAACTGAAAAGCAGTCTAACAGAAACAAAGGCAAGTCTTCACAGCTGTATGATTTCAGCAGCCAAAGCTGGATGATGGACTGAAACATTACTATACAACTGGGACAAAAACATATACAATATCACAATACTAAGCAAAAACGCTTTACACCCAAAGAAATAAAACAGGTTACAAAATGTGTAGAATTTAGCAGGCAAAACTGTATTACAAGCAACATTTTAAATCGTCATTTTTAAGCCATTGCAACTATTTAAAACATCTAAAACAAATATAAAAATGAGCCTTTTAGTATTTTATTGATGTGATTTTTTTGTCTTTAAATATTTGTTAAAGCTTGATGTTATACTCAAAGTACATATTATGTAGCTAAAATGCCAAGTGAGAAGAGTGTATGCAAAGTGGTCCAAGTTTTATTTCAAACTCTGATTTCCAATGAATCCTTCTAAATATTATTCGTTAAGTCATAATTTGATTCATGGTGAAAAAGGTTTAGAAAGTTGCCTGAAATGTTCACATCTATGTCTTTGAGTAAATAATTAGACCATGTTGAAAATTCTCAGGTCTAGTAAATCAGGTTTAAAGTATTCTGGACTTATAGAAATATCAACTGATTAACAGTTGGCCAGAGTGTACTGCCTTCAAATATTTTTCATAATTCTTGTCTTTTTCATGTTTCTAAACACACATCTGACCCCCCATTAAATAAATCTGATTACATGACTGGCACAATATCCAAATATACGGAATTTGTTAGTGATATCTCACCACGGGAAGGTAGGGGGGTGGATCTGCCAAACCTCACAAATTTTATATCACAAACCTAGTGTTCTTGGGATGTTTCACCACTAGTTATTCCAAGATAAAAATGGAAATCTCTTAATCATCCAAACAATTAAAAAACAGTTTTAGCTAATGTTAAAATCATTCTAAACCAGTGATTCCTAGAGCAAATTTTTTACCCAACTTTCTTTTTTTTCTGGAATTCTTTAACTATTTCCACTACCAATTACATCACCATTTCAAAAATGGTTTTGCCATATTGAGTTGACTCCCATAGTCAAAAACAATGTTTTTCTTCAAGAATTAAAGTAACCAAATTATACACGAATAAAATTATAGGTCATTTTTACAGACCTGGATTAAGAAAAAATGTAATGATTTTCTAGTAAAACTCATGAAAGGGTATTAGATGAACTAATTTTGATCAAAAAATTGCCTCACAGATCTAAACTAAAAAAATTTCATACTTTGAAACAATTTAAGAAAATGTAAGGAAATTGGGGGAAAAGAATATGATGATGAGAGAAAAGAGAGCACAGAAGCCAGTGATCCTTATCTTTAAGAGGAATTATTTCACAATACTGACAGTACTGGGAATCGTTAAAGCACATTCCTCATGTGAACTTAAAGTCAGCAATGGTTCTGCCATTTTGATGTTGTCATAAAACAGGGTGTGAATCTAACAACCACAACTTCAGCGTTAACCTCCTAAAATGCTAGAACTTGATTTTCTTAGTCCACATCCCACTGCCAGCAACAGGATGAAGCACTAGCACTGGCACCATGCAGTTAAGAGATGTGCTTTGTATTAGTGCCAGGAGAGAGAAAATTCGTGTGTGGAAGATAATCCACAACCCTGAAATTTTACCAGTAATTATTTCAGCGCATATAACTGAAAATAAAAAATGGCAGAAAGACTAAAGAAGAAAAAGGAATTCTCTTCTTAGGCTGTACTTAAGGCTGTTTATACAATGCTAAGATAACTGCAAGACTCCTCCAACTTTAGAGCAGTAGTATTTAAGAATATTGCACACAATTCTGTCAAAGATAACCTTTAGTTTCTAACTTTCAATCACAGAGATGATATAGCAGGAGCCCCATTTCAGACTTCAGTCAAAAGAACGTTGAAACCATTTCAATCACTTTAATCAAGAAATGGATTAAGTACAAAAGTATTTCATAACTTGAGGAATCAACTCTAAGAACTCAGCTGTGTGTTTTTATGTAAAGAATTAATATATAAATCTTTATTCTTTCTTAAATTTATTAATTTTATGACAATTTTATGGTTGCTAAAAGCAGGCATAAAAATTTAGAGAAGAAATCTGTGGAGCTGTTACTGTTATGGAAGGACTTGTTTTCACTGAAAACAATTTGAAATATCTTCTGTACTCAATGTGTGTAAGAAGATTCTAGGCAACATCACTGACAAATGTCAGGGAGAAATGGTACGCCCTATTTAAAAAAAAAATTAAACTAATATGGAAGATTGGCATTTAAAGGGACCAAACTATTTATACAGTTGAGTTCTGTTAAGTCATTGATTCCTAAAAAAATAAAAGATCTTTCTATGATTTTAACAATCCTTTATGCTTTTAGTGCAAAATCACATTGATTTCCCTTGGGAAGGTCCTGGATTTTTGCTTCGCATTGGGGGTGGTGCACGCTGTAATGGTGGTGGCTGCATACCACCAGCTACTGACTGATACATTCCTCTCATATCAATCTGCTGGTAGTTAGAAGGATTCATGATTAAATTTGGAGGCTTTGGCATCATGAGGTGACCCAGTGTTGCTTGTTGATAAGTCATTTGTTGCTGTTGCTGCTGATTGTACTGCTGCTGGAGCCTTCTGTTCATAAGTATTCGCTGAACACAGCTGATTAACTATAAAGAGAAAAGGGAGCTGTTACAAGTGCATGACCTGTCTCAAAGAAGCAAGTATCAAGTTTTGAGTTAAAATCAATTTGGTAAGGGGGTACCATACCAAAAGAAAAACACATTATTGTTATTACCATTACTAATTTGATGGCATTCACAGGACCATTACTGTAGAAACCAGTTAGTAACACCATTTAGGGCTAAATTCTCTTAATGACTTGACTATTGTATTGCAAGCAGCATTTAGGTTAGTTGCCATAGTAACCTGTCCTACACTGTGATTAGACTCAAGTATTAGTTACAGCACTTTTGGTCAAACCTCCTTTCTTTGCCATTCTTTTGAATATTTCACATGATGACAAATAAACATTTTAGTGACAAACACCAAAGGGAAAAGCACTTGCAGTAGGAATAATTCCTACCTGGAATGTCTCAAATTTCCTAAGATAATTTAAAACCATATAATTCTGCAGTGCTTTCTAAGTAAAATTCATGCCACAGAAATTGATTCCCTGGTGTCAAGAGTTGAAATTTCCCAGTGCAGGGCAGATGGCTGGCAAACAACTGTGCTGGGAAAGATGATCAAAGATCCTAGAATATGCTAGCCTTTGAAAGAATTATATAATTTAGTAGAAATTTATGATATATACCATCCCTAGTTCTACTTTTTATTCTTTAAATGCATTTACATGTATATACTTTTATTTAGAAGTTGTTTAGAAAAGGCAAGTGTGGTAAAAGTCTGGTAAAAATTTCTATTTAGATGCCCAGAATATATCAAAAACAAAATTACATGGAATAGATCCTATAAAAACTTCAAGGAGACTCATTTGGGAAGCTGTTGCTCCTTTGTAACAGACATTGCCTTTAGCTTACATTACTTGGTTTTTGACAAATTTTCTTCCAGAATAATCAATGACCATCCCATCCCTCCATAAGGGAGATGGTTATTGACACATCTGTCACACAAACTCGTTATTATAAATTCAAGAAAATTAAACATAACCTAGAGATACTCAGAATTCTTACCATCTGTTGTTTTGTCAACACATCATTGTAGATTGCTTCTCTTCGTTTAACATCAAGCTCCTGGCTGGCTTGTCTACTTAATGCTAATGCCTGTACTTGGGCCTCTGAAAGATTCACGTTTTCCTTCCACTAAAAGAAAAATTTTCTGTTTACTCTTTATTACTGTACAATTGAGGAAAAATAATTAAGGTGCTTAAAGATACTCAGGATTTTACAAGTTCCCCCGACCCCTTATCCTTTATTTTTTTCTAAAGAAAACAGTGATGGAGAAGCAGGGTGCTAAGTTGTCTATTGTTGTATATGGGCTGGCTATCTCTGGAATGAAACAACTGTTTGGATTTAATTTGTACAACTGGTAATTAAAGTATGTTTATGTAAGCAATGCATACATTTCTATGCCTGATTTCTCAATTCTTAGATTTTATCCATTTCTCTTTTGTGCCAACATCTATGTAAAATTGCTGGGTTACAGCTTGGCACTATTATCCAATTTACTAGTATTTTACTAATGCAAATTAAGTTATAAGAAGTAAAGCAAATAAAAATAACAATTAAAAATTAAAACAAACAGTGGGCCAGGGAGGACACAAGTTGAAGGCTGAAATGAGACAACTGCCGATTAGCTTACTACAGCTGAAATGATATCTTCAAGAGGCTGAATCCTCACTGCTGTCACACTATTTGTTGCTTCCACAACTTTTTCTCTTCCTTGATTAATGAGGTCCTAGAAGAGTGAAAGAAATAAGTTATACCGGACAGAAAGAAGCACAGTTTTAAAATATAGGGGTCTTTCCTCTTGCCAATTTATTGCACTTGGATATAAAACTCTTTAAATAATGGAAGAGAAGAGCAAAATCCAGCATCACTAAAGTGCAATAAAACTCATCACTGCCAAGAGGGTCTTATCAGAAGATAAAAGTTTGAATTTTAATACACTGATAATTTAATGATTTAAATGAGCCCATAGGCACATTTTAAAAAGGAAGCCATGGATTCAATTAAGTTATTAAATTATTGGTATAATAAAACCCAGTGTTTCCTCTTTAATTCATAATTGAGTCTAGCTTTAAAAAATTAATTATTTCATAATACTGGGTATAATCATCTATTTAATGGTACATCTACACTGCATTAGAATATAAATTAATGCATTTATCTTACTTTCAAATACTAAGCAAGCAATTTGTTTATTCCAAATATTTTATAACTGAAGAAAGTGCTATTTCCCTAGCCAGTCAGCTGCCCTATTGTTCCTTAATTAAACTAATTCAAACTACATTAATTCAAGGTCTGATTTCTCTTGTGCTATGAACAAACATTTTACTATATGTTGGTTTAAAAAGGTCAAAAAATAAAAGTAAAATCTCTTGGTCTATTCAGAGGTAATCTTTTGGAGAATGTGATATTCCTGCATAGGGAAGCCTCAACAACAAGGCACTTGAAATTGCCTTTAATTTATGTTAAACTACTTTTGTACTTCACAACTTACCTCCAGCTGTTGATTACTCATTGCTGACAGGGCTCCCAAATTAAAAGGAATATAAGGAGTTTGAGCATTGAAAGTGACAGGGGGTAAATTGGTCCCAGTTGGGATGTTGAAACGCATGGTCAGTCCCTAAAAACAAAAAATTATGCACTTTTCACATTGTGATTTAAAACTTGAAATTCTACATCACCTACTGGTTTAGAAAAGAATCCACATTCTCAAATCTAGGAAATTATTAACACTCTTCCACACACAAACAAAACATCTTTTTCACCCGAAACCAAGATCTTATTACACAGAAAGCTTTAACCCCCTAAAGGTGTACTTTTTTTTCCCTGATAATTCCCACAGAATGGGGCAATTCACAGAATTCTGATGAGACTCCTAACATCACATTAACATTAAAGACATTTGGTACAATGAGGTAGGAGTTTAAAAAGGATTCAGGTATTAGGATAAGGTTTCTTACGCTCAGGCACATTTTTGCTCAAGTGAGTTGGTGTTTAAAACAGACATGGAATTATTTTCAATAAAGTTGCTGTTGGAAATTGGCATTAATGTCTAATAATGGAATATTTTTGTGTTCTGATAATCAGCCCAAATTTAGAATTCATGGTACACACGTTGAAGCAACATTGACTCCCACCTCCAAACTCTAAGCTCCCATATGTTTGTTACTACAGAGAGGGTGTTGATGGGAGTCAAGTAATGCTAAATATATAGCTTCCCACTCAATTCTCTATTCAGCAAGTGCTAAGCAGAAATGGGGTTACATTCTTTAAGTGTAAAATATTATTTTGTTCTCTCCTTTTTTTCCCTCCCACTATACCACCAAAGACAACCAAAGACAATAAACAGATTCTTATAATTGGGGACTCTCTGTTCCTAAAGACCCACTATTATATATATTATTACTTGTTTCAAATGTGACCCTTTTCCTCCTCACTGCTCACTCAAACAAATAACATAAAAACAAAAAGCATTTTGACTGAACTACCTTCTTCTCTGCTTCATACTCAGCCCAAGCTGCTTTTCTTTCTTCTTCAGTCAACTCTTCTTCTTCTTTGTGGTCCAAAAGAGAATCATGTTCATGATATCCTACAATGTGTTCTTTATGTATCTGAAGAAGTTCTGCAAGTATGGTGTCCTGTTTAGAGTGGTTGAAATAATAGAGAATTATTTTCTTCCTCAGGATTTTCTCTCCACAGTTTTATGGCCAATTGTTAGTCTAGAAACTGACTACTACACATATTTCTGATATATATGATAAATTACCTAGAAAACAGCCACAAAACATGGACCATTAGCCTCTTTTGTAAGAATTTCATGTTTATACAGCATGTATTAGGGATTCAATTTTTTAAAATTACCATTTATCAGCTTTCAAGGTCTTTCCTCCCAATTTAAAAGACTTTCATATACATTTTGTTTTGTGCTTATTTTTGAGTTGATAAATGCAAATATAAGTCTGCTTAAGTTAGTGACTACATTGGATGCCTGTGCTAAAAATCTGGGCTACTCTGCCTTATACATAACAAACAACTTTATTTAAACACTCACTTTAGCTACCAACCACTATACCAACAAAAAATGAATCTCATATAATCTAAATAGTTACAGGACAGTTTAACTGGAACATATAGACTTTATATTCCAATTACAGGAAGTCAAATATAAATTATACTGTAAACTATCTGCTATGCATTTTTCAATTTATTATCATAGTGTCCTTCTAAAGAAATTATGGTATCTTAAGTCAATCTCTTAAGGTTAAAAGCTTAAATATTGGGATTATTTATATACTCAGCAAGAACACTAAACTTCTGCTCTGTATAATTATGAATGTGAGAGTGAGACACAGAGAGAGATTGAGGTGGGGGTGGTTAAGGTAAATCACGAAGCTGGGCGCGGTGGCTCACGCCTATAATACTAGCACTCTGGAAGGCCAAGGCGGGAGGATCGCTTGAGCCCGGGAGTCTGAGGTTGCAGTGAGCTAGGATGATGCCACTGTACTCTACCCAGGGTGACAGACCAAGATTCTGTCTTTAAAAAAAAAAAAAAAAGTAAACCACGGATATATTACTTACAATAAAAAATTTAAAATATTCACAAGGATTTTCCATAGCTTTTCACAAATGCCCCTAGAGTATACTTTCTAAATTGAGTATGAATTTAGGAAAGGAACATAATTACAGATCAAATGAAGGCAAATGAGATATATAGCACATTAAATTCACAAAGCCCACATTTGAAAAGAATTATGTCTTTATATATTCAACTACACCTAGAGTATACAATCCAAAAAATGGTAGGAACTCAAATGTCTTAAATAACTGAAGATGAAAAACTCAAATTGTGAGGCCCTAAGTTTTGTTCTGTACAATAGCAAATGCTGACACTAATTCTAAATAGTCTGATATTTAATATTACGTGAACAACTTTTTTATCTTGGTACCCCAATAAACATTTAAAATAATTCCTTCCTTTTGTGAAGGAAAAGGGACTGATTTTGTTAATAGATATGGCTGTAATTGGGACTTTATAATTCATTCTGAAATGCAAGTATGTGCTATTTACTTTGTTGAAAATAGAAAACATTAAAAGATCATACAAAGCAAGAGGGCTAAATAAAGTCTGCTGGTAGAATACATAGATACTAACAGATTCAGGTCCTTTGAAATGTTAACTAAATACTTCTCTCATAGATCAGTGTTAGAAATCTGCCATCAAAGCTGACTTCTCTGGCCTATGCCACATATGACAGGTTTATCACCACAAGATTGATCACCAAAGGCCAGAGTTATTGACCAGGCAGGCAGAGATAGGCCAGTCTGCATTAATTCATTCTAATCATGTGTAACTCCTATGTCCACCTACCCCCCACAAAGTATAATTTGAGAGAGATAAAATAATAAAATAGCAAAAACAAAGACAATGTGATCATCTCAACAGATGCTGAAAAAGCATTTGACAAAATTCGCCACGCTTCACAATAAAAAAAAAAACTCAACAAACTAGGCACAGAAGGAACACATCTCAAAATTATAAAAGCCATATATGACAAACACATAGTCAACACTATGCTGAATGGGGAAAAGTTGAAAACATTCCCACTAAAACCTGGAACGAAACAAGGATGCCCACTGTCATCACTTCTATTCAACATGGTGCTGGAAGTCCTAGCCAGAGCAATCGGACAAGAGAAAGAAATACACGGTATCCAAATTGGGAAAGAGGAGGTCAAATTATTGCTCTTGGCCGACGATGTGATTTTGTATCTAGAAAACACTGTAGATTCTACCAAGAGTCTCCTGGAATTGATAAATAAATTAATCAATGTACATAAATCAGTAGTATTTCTTTTTTTTTTTTTTGAGACAGAGTCTCACTCTGTTGCCTGGGCTAGAGTGCCGTGGAGTCAGCCTAGCTCACAGCAACCTCAAACTCCTGGGCTCAGGTGATCCTCTTGCCCCAGCCTCCCGGGTAGCTGGGACTACAGGCACACACCACCGTGTCCAGCTAATTTTTTCTATTTTTAGTTGTTTGGCTAATTTCTTTCTATTTTTAGTAGAGATGGGGTCTCGCTCTTGCTCAGGCTGGTCTCGAACTCCTGAGCTCAAGCAATCCTCCCGACTCGGCCTCCCAGAGTGTTAGGATTACAGGCGTGAGCTACCGCACCTGGCCAGTAGTATTTCTATATACCAATAATAGTCAAGCTGAGAGTCAAATCAAAGACCCAATACTATTCACAATAGCTACAAAGAAAATAAAACGCATAGGAATATACTCAACCACGGAGGTGAAAGATCCCTACAAGGAGAACTACGAAACACTGAGGAAAGAAATTGCAGAGGACACAAAGGGAAAAACATATAATGCTCATGGACCGGTAGGATCAACATTGTTAAAATGTCCATACTACCCAAAGTGATTTACAGATTCAATGCAATCCCCATCAAAATACCAATGTCATATTTCATAGATCTAGAAAAATATAATTCTACACTTTGTTTGGAACCAGAAAAGAGCCCGAATAGCCAAACCAATCTTAAGCAAAAAGAACAAATCTGCAGGTATCACATTACCAGACCTCAAACTTTACTACAAGGCTATAGTAACCAAAACAGCATGGTATTGGTACAAAAACAGAGACATAGAATAATGGAAAAGAACAGAGAACCCAGATATAAAACTATCTACCTACAGCCAACTGATCTTTGACAAAGCAGACAACAAAACACAGTGGGGAAAAGAAGCTCTATTCAATCAATGGTGGTGGGAAAATTGGATAGCCACATGCAGAAGAATGAAACAAGACCCCCACCTCTCACTACTCATAAAAATTAATTCGAGATGGATAAAAGACTTAAGTGTAAGGCATGAAACCATGAGAATTCTAGAAGAAAATGTATATCAACCTAGGCAAAGAATTTATGACTAAGACTCCAATGGCAATCACAGCAACAATAATAGATAAATGGGATTTGATTAAACTAAAAAGCCTCACCACAGCTAAGGAAATAACCAACAGAGCAAACAGACAACCTACATAATGGGAGAAAATATTTGCAAACTATACATCTGATAAAGGGCTAATAGCCACAATCTACAAAGAACTCAAGCAAATCAGCAAGAAAAAAGCAAACAACCCCATTAAAAAGTGGGCAAAAGACATGAACAGAAGCTTTTCAAAGGAAGATAGACAAATGGCCAATAAATATAGGAAAAAAGACTCAATATCACTAATCAGGGAAATGCAAAATAAAACCACAATGAGATATTTTTACCCCTGTTAGAATGGATTTTATTAGAAAGTCCAAAAACAATAGATGCTAGTGTGGATGCAGAGAGAAAGAACACTTATACATTGTTGGTGGGACTACAAATTACTACAACCTCTGTGGAAAACAGTGTGGAGATTCTGCAAAGAACTAAAACCAGATTAACCATTCAATCGAGCAATCCCACTACTGGGTATCTACCCAAAGGAAAAGAAGTCATTTTATCAAAAAGATACCTGCACTCAAATGTTTATTGCAGCACAACTGACAATTGCAAAGAGGTGGAATCAACTCAAGTGCCCCTCACTTCATGAGTGGATTAACAAAATGTGGCATGTGTATACCATAGAGTACCACTCAGCCATAAAAAAGGATGACCTAATGCCTTTTGCAACTATTTGGGTGGAACTGGAAACCATTTTCCTAAGTGAAGTATCTCAAGAATGGAAAAACAAACACCACATATACTCACAATTAAATTGGAACTAACCGGTGAGCACACATGTGCACAGAGGGAAGTAAAACTCAGTGGAAATCCAGCAGGGAGAGGGGGAAGGAGGGGAGGGGCACCAACCTACCTAATGAGGAGATCGGGCAAGATGGCTGAACAGAGACATCACTTGCTGGACTGTCCAGGAGAGAAGGAAGGGTTTCGGATAGGGGAGACGGGAGAGGGGATGCAGCGCAGGTGAATTTCAGTGAGAGAAGTGCCAGACCCTGCCAGGGACCTCTTGAAGGAAAATTGCAAAGCAGAGAAGGAAGAAGATAAAGCAAAACAGGTACCAGTGAGGACCAAATCCAGGGAGGCTCAGAGCCCAGCAAAGGGGTGACGAGGGCTGCCCTTCTATCTCTCACAATCCTTCGGTGATCAGCGGGATACCAAGTTACTAAGAAGCTTTTCCACCCAAGCAAACCCAAACACTGCAGCAACCACAGAATTATGGGGAGAACTTGTGATCCCAGAGCTTGGACACTCCGTGAAGGGTTCCCCTCGAAGGAGACTGACCTGAGAGGCCGGAGAGGAGGCTTATTTCCATTCAGACTCTTACCTCTCTCCCTCTCCCCCACCCACTGCAACTGGGGGAAGTTTGAGCTGAGAATTTGGTTAGCAGCCCTGTCCCCCCAGCTGGTGCATCTGACATTCTTAAGTTTCCACCAAGAAGGGGGCCCATGCCTCTCCCCTTGTGGACATGCACCAGATCCGGGAGGCCCATCTGGGAGCTCCCTGCCCACCAGCATTTCACAGAGATACACACCAGTCAGATATGCAGGCCACATCCCGTGCTCCCAGGATTCGAGTAGGTCTCTCAGGAAAATGGGAGCAGGGAAGGTTTAGGAGCTGGACTTGGGAGTCAAAGGAGCCCAC